GTCCCTACCATCTCTACTTGACTGTTTGTTTTTTATGTGCTTTTGAACTTGACGGCAAACCCATCAAAAGCATACCAGTGAGATGTGTTATTTATCTTATAGGCATTCTGTTCTGTCAACCTGTTCCCTGTTTCTTGATTTCTAAAAGGTGGCCATCATACGGAACAGTGATCACCAAACAGAAACGTGTAAAAACTCTTCCACTGTTTTGACCAAACATAAAGGAGGCGCTGTGGGTGAAATCACAGCGGGGGCTTAAGAGGTGTGAGTTACCTACGGCAACCAAACGACAGATCGGTAATTCCATAGAAACCACACGGGTCGGAGAGGTGTTGCATACACACACAGCGAAACGGGGAAAATGTTTCCATGCTCCAAAAGTGCAAAACAAACCAAAAAGATTAAAATCTATATCAGCTTCACTACTCTACAGACGTTCACAGCAGCAGGGAAGAGAGACGTGTCCTTTAATCTGATTTTAGCCAGTTTTTAATCATTCTGATTTACAATTTCATACCACAACCAAAAATCTGACATATCGTTCTTCTCAGAGTACAGGCTTACCTATAAATAATTGAAAAACATATTTTTTCATTTTAACCTTATGAATTAACACATTACACAAAAAATATCAAATCTGAAAACATAAACATGTACACCAAGCTGTTTGATATCTTCAAAAAGAAAACAACTATGAACATATGAAATTAAAACTAAAATACAGTAAACTGCTGCACTAATATTTCCTATATATGTTTCATAATCACACATCAGATGTGGCGAATCCACTCTTATGTCTTGGACTCAAAATCAAATGCTCTATTAAATCTATGACTTCAAAATTCACTTAAAAAACCTATTTAGAGACTTGTGACTTGATTCAGACTTTTACACAATGACCCGGGACTTAAATTGAGCATCAAACCAGTTTACTTGAAAAGAATTGATATTAGATATACAAAAAAACTAAAATCATCCTGCCAAGAGTAGTTTCTTCCAGCGTACACAAACTACAAAGTACTTGACCAATAAAATGCAATATGGGGAGACATGTAAAAAACGGGAATCTCAAACACAGGCCGAAAAACGTTTAGCTTTCTCATTTGAAGTGGTCTTAAGTTAACCTTGTCTTATTATTAACATAGGTTGCACCTTTTTCAATCTGCTTTGATATAAATAGGTTTAAGAAGTCTAATCTTTACATGTAACATTCAATTTTGTGAAAAATAAAAAAGAAGACTCAAAAGGGTTTGAAATTCAAGGTTTCAAGCTTAAAACTAAACTCTGGGCTTCAGGATCAAAATTTGAGATGTACTTTGGATTCGCAAAACACTGTATGGGTCCCACCATATTTCCCAAAAGTCATTAGTATCATTTATGGTTTTATTTTCTCAGCTAAAGGCCAAACAAAACAATGTGCTCAATAATAGAACAACACCAGTATTTTGCATTCCTAGAGTTAAAAATGAATGGAAAAAATTAAGCAAAAAAAAAACAAGACTTTAATTAAATTGTATTCAAGTATTTCATATTGTACACAACTGGCATCTTTTTTTATTAAAACGAGATAAATGAAATGGAAATCAGTATCTATCAGAAAGAATTGGTATAACAGCTTTTTTAACAATGTCTGATTATTACTGTTTTTTTTATTGTAAAAGCAGGTTTGTACTGCTGCAGTAGTTTAACAAAGGGGGATCATTTTTGTTATGCATTTAATAGTTTTGCATTTTGCACCATATCTATCTATATATTTTTGCACTGCTCTGAACCTTCCACATCAATGTCTTTTTGCACCATGTCTCTCCCACACTGTGTACATTTGATCACTGCTGCACTTTATGAATGGAAATGTTCTTTTTTTTACTGCTAAGCTGCTCATTCACTGTCGGACAGCTGTATAAACTGAATTTCTTTATACACTCTGTTTACAAAATAAGAATATAGTTTAACTAAGTCTGTCTAAGTCTAAGCATAGTTTTATCAATATTTTCTCCATGTACTGACTTAGCAATATAATTTGTTTCAGAAATAATTTCTAAAGTCTGGTTACTTTAGCGGATTGTAGAAAATTTTAGAAATCCAACAACAATATTCTGATTAAATGACATATTTGCTCCAAAGACTGGTTAACTTAAGGTTATAGATATCAGGCTTGGCACAAGTCTTGAATGGGAAGATTTAAAACTTAATGTGACTCACAAAGGATGACTTTGTCCCACAAACGCATGATTAAGTAGTAAGGAATGGGACATAGAGATGTTACCATTGGCGTCGCCAGACCCCATTTACTGGGGCACGTGCCCCAGTATAAATGAGCTGTGCCCCAGTATAAATCTCTTGAATATTTGCAACAGTATTACATTTTTTTAATGCATCAATTTAGATATTTCCAACGGAAGGAGACGTATATTTCTACTCAAATGCGCAGCAAGTGTGTTGGTAACTCCAAATTGAGGACGTATTAGCGCCCCCACGTCAGCGCATGTCACTGCATGAACTGCAGGTAAAGTAACGCGCTGCTCTCAGCTGAGTTGGATGGGACACTGTGCGGCCGCGACGCATTTTTAGTTCTGGTAATGTTTCTTACCTGTCAATTTTATTATTTTCCCAGTGAAACCACATGATTTATAAGCTAACTGAAAATTACTGCATTGGTTTGTAGATAGATATCAGGAAATTCCTCACATGAAGCAGAGACAGGGAAGCAGTAAAACAAGATGAGAGAGAGGGAGGTAAGGTCCCGTAATGAATTAGTGATTTAAGCTAAGCAGTTACATTAGGGACGTTATAAGCAATATGATAGATATTTACATAATTATAAATTTGCGTTTTTTTATGTTTGCTGTAGAGAATGAGAATGCAGGTGCTGGAGTAGGAAAGGGAGGAGGAGGCGAGACTGACAGGCAAGAGACAGGTGAGAGACAGGAGAGACAGGACCATGAAGGTGATGAGGATGCAACAACCAGCTTCCACAAACAAGAAGGGGACATTAGTGACATAGGGGGAAAGCATGATGGTCCGAAACAAGTGAAGTTGTCCCACTATCCCCAGGACAAATTTGGAGTAAAAAAACGTTCATTTAATTCAAAATGGTTTGAGCTTTTCCTGGTTAAAAAAGAAAGCCTTGTTATCAAGGATATGCAGTGTGTTTTCAACTTGCTTGATAACATCATACTGTATTCCCCACACTAACGCAGGTCATCCAGATCTCCCTCACAATCCCAGTCTACAGATGGAGCTGTGAAAGGTCATTCAGTGTGTTGAGAAGGATCCACACTTGGCCGAGGTGCACAATGGGACAAGATAGGCTCCATCATCTTGCTATTTTATCAGTTGAAAAGGAAGAACTTTCTAAGCTGAGTCACAAGTGATTGACCACTTTGCAAAAATGATAAATAGGAGGTACACTATAATGCTCAAAAAATAAAAGGAAAATTTAGCTCAGGATGAGTTAAAATTTCCCCCGAACTAAAACTCTGTAACCTAGGAATTAATGATTACTTCAGAATGTGTATAAGGAAACTTTTTATTTGTCAAAGTTGTTGATGTCTTATTTTTTATAGCTGCAATGTTGAAAATGTTCATGTTTGTTAAAACAAATATGCTCTTATACTCATTAATGTCTCAACTGGTAATTTTGGTAGGAATGTATCAGGGTTGGGCAGTGTGCTTGTCTGTATTTATGTATGGAAGGAGGGGCATATGCACTAGGGGGCCAGTGCCCCAGTAAAGCTTTGTGCCTAGCAACGCCCCTGGATGTTACTCAAAGGGACGACGGTAAGAGTGGGTCCACCTGTCTGCTGAGTCTGAGAAATAAAACCCAGCATCTTGAAAAGACGATCGCATGTTAAAGATGGTGCTCACTGTTACCCATACAACGGTGTAATCAGAGAGCATGCTGTGTGAACGCACAGGGTCTGCTATCTCTGTGGATCGACATCTGCGCATCTTGGTTAACACGTTTGCTGCAGAACTCTGATCTTATTGAGGCCTCTTTAAAGATAAGACTGTAATCTGTAATTAACATTTCCTGTAGTTGACTTTGGATTTGGTGATTTTGGCACCCCCACATGGTCCATCTTAGACCTCTCAGGCAGAGAAGGTGATGAAAAACGCTGAATACCAGGAATGCAGGGTATTCACATTCCATCAAAGAAATATATATGAACCATCAGATCTAAACTATGCATAGTTTTCATGATAATCAACGCCAAACAAAAACTGAGATTTGTGCAAACTGGCATATTTAAGCTGGTTTTGCTAGAGCGATTTAGAAACATCTGATTTGAGCAAATCAACGTGATAACAGAAAGCTAAAAGTTTTCAAATAAGTCTGCTCTTGATGGAGGTGAATTGCGTCCAAATTGGTGGTAAATCTTGACTTAGAGCAGAGGAGTTATAAGGATGATGGTGCCTCAGAGCCAGAAACAGAGAAAGGAAGCAGGAAAAAATCTTGGCAATTTTTGCTATAATGCAGACACCCCTCCAGTTTATCGAAGTAAGGAAATGTAAAATGCAGCAGCTGTTTTATTTGTCCATTTCAACCCAGACCCTCACCTATGGTCCGTGAAATAAGGATCAGTACCAAAAACGACCAAATCCAAGAAACTAAGAGGAGAAACGAGGTTTCTTTTTCGGATTCAAAGCTTAAACCTTGGATAATGAAACAGTTGATTTGGTCCTTTTATAGTGAATAAGTTCATCCAGTCCCTCTAACATTCATTCACTAACAAGCACTTCAGTTCACACTTTAAGATGGTGTTATGTAGAATAATAATGACACCAACCCTAATAAATAGACTAAGATATGCAGTATGTTTTCTTTTCTATGGTGTCTTTTTTTCTTTATTCAAAGCTAAACTGATTGTCTGTAAACTGACAGGAACAGACCAGATGTCTGTTTCCACCACCGTTCTGTCACTGCTGTTTGAATATCTATCTCATAAAATGACAGTTATCCTTCCAAGTGCGACCAAAGGGCTTTTTCTATTTCTTACCGTTCCGCTGACTCTGACGTCATTAAGCCGTCCCCAGTCGTCTTCATGGCTGTCAACCATCATCATAGTATCATCCTCCACTAAGAGCCACTGCGCCTGCAGGTCAACCTTCACCTCCTCTCCCATGGAGTGCATGCCTACAGCGGGGAAAAGGCCCTCTGAAGACACTGGAACCTCGACTGAACCCACCTGGGCAGAAAGATATTGAAAAATGCCAAATAAATTAAAAAGATCAAATAAATGTGTAACAAAAGGTGTCCATTTATTACTGCTAGCAAGGGCTTTCGATTTACTGAAGGGAAGCAAATATAAAAATATTACAGCAAAGGATATTTACCTCAACAGAAGGCTTTCAAAATAAGAGTATTTGGGTGCTTGTTAACCTATAATATATTTTAAATGTCACTATATCTAGTAGTAACATCTAGTTAGCTGGTATAAAGTCAAATAGGCATTTGCATAAAGAAGTTAAAGAGATTAAACTAATCTCCTTCTAAAGATTATTAATGTAACAGTCCGAGATAATATAATATGAACTGTTAATGTGTTAATGTAACGCTTTAAACACTGCGCAGAAACACTTACCTCTCTGCCGTTCTTGGTGAAGAAAACAGTAGTAAGACCAGCTTCTGTATTTTCTGAGTGGATGCCACAGCCGATGCGGTCGCCGCGAACACATTTTGGGCCAAACTGCTTTCCAACAGGGTTGCCATTATACAACCTGCAAGACAAACATTGTTGTAACCGCATCCAACCTATTACAGTGTAGATAAGCGCATCCAACTCTTTATCTACAGCACTAATAAGAACATGGTACATTTTCTGCAAAACAAAAAGACAAACAATAGAGGGCTCAAAGTCAGACTGCTGGATTTTTTTTTCTAACAATTAGGTCTACAGTGGGGTACTCTGTCATCTTTATTCCTATAATCTTGCATTGCATGTGGAGGATCCATCACGAGTGAGTCAATATCCTCTGAGCTCGTCTGGACAGACTGCTCATAAATCATTACAAGGATCTGGTTTTAACTGCTGTAAACCCTACAGCTGTCTGCGTCAGAAAAACAAGCTCTGCACCAAGACTGCCAAACAGCAGACATCGCATTATCTGGCTAAACTCTCGACTAATGCATCTAAGTCAGACTGGAAACACCTGGTGGCTCCCGGAGGTTTAGTCTTTGTAAGATCAAACAGAAGAAAAAAAAAATCCCAGTAGAAGAAAAAAACAACACCTTAGACAAGGGAATAAATCTTAAACTGCCCCACTTCATATTGATCAGTGCATCCATTCTGCTTACTGTAATAAAGGCTAGAATTTATCTGAGAATGTACAGGAGGAAAATGAGTTCATCTAAATTAATGCAGGAACTAAATGGTTCACTGCTGGGTAAAAAAATAAATAAAAAACTGCGGTGGACTTACTTGCCGTTGTCAGCATGGTAAGCTACAGAATACGGCAGCCAGCCAGGCTGGTGGTCCAGCCTGTAGAATTTAGGCACTAAGCCCACAGCAATGGTTCCCCTTACTCCTGTGTCCACTATGGTTACCTAAACATATACATACATACAAAAAAACACAAAAAACACCACAGCATTGGCACTAGTTAGATATTATTTAATCCACAAATACTTGTTCAACTTTGCTTGTATTCATCTGAAAACAGATATTTATATACAAAGTGTAAAAAACACACTTTCTTCTCATTGAATTTACATATTTTAGACATTTTGCATCCATTAGAATTGCAACGGGCTTCTACTCTTAAAGCTGAAGAATAAAACAGGATTTTGTACGGCTTTGATAAAAGTCAAAGGTTCCATACATTTCTTTGGTGTATTAGCTTCTTAAAAAAACTTTGGGAGGAGTCTTTTTAGCTCTGTCTAATTTTCAACAGAAGTGTTCCGGTCATCAGGGCTCAACATCAACTTAATTGCACTTTTTTGACTTAAAGCTACAGTGTGTAATTTTCAGCGACATCTAACGTCCAGACTGCAGACCGCAGCAACATGAACATCTCCCCCCCCACCGCTTCTCCCCCCCAACAGTACGGCGAGCGGTACGGGACAAAATGTCTTCCACGACGTCCGCATCACCTACCTTCTCAAGTGATGAGGTTTGTTTACATAGATAATTTTACAGATAGTATTTCATTAGTCTGTGTGTTCAGTACCGTCTCAGTTCATCTCTCTCAACTTGCCGTAGTTACTTTCGAGCGTAATGGGCGATCTCGCAATCGCTAGTTTGTTGGCTCTGCGCTGCCGTAGCGCAAAGATGTCTGCCTCCATGGCTGCGAGACCCGCTCCTATGTAATTATAAATAACGAATTCTAAGGCAACGCAAATATTAAGGTTAAGAGGCTGAGCTCATAGATGATGATAAATAACATAGTTATGTATAATATATTACATTTCTGACTGTATATCCCTGTAATTATTACACACTGTAGCTTTAAGAAAAAATATAAAAATAAGTTAATATTGGAAATGAGCCTAACATTAACTTAAACACAAAGAGCTATGGCAAAAAGCGGCATCTTGGAGTCACTGTAAAACCAATAAAAAAACATCTGTTTTTTTCCTGGACTGTTTTTCTGACTCTCTGAATGTATATTTTTTCAATATTTCTCCTAAATCGATGTCTCTTCTCCCTCCTTTCTAGATCTGTGTAAATTTTAAAGGTATAGTGGAGGATTTTTATTCATTTTTGAAAAGACCCAACCTCTCCATTAAAAAAAAAAAATGCACATGCACAACCATGTAATAGTTGTTCTTTGAAAGGGTACACCTATTAAACGTGTGCGAGAGCATGCATGAGCCCATTTCTCCTCGTGCACGCTCTGTTTAAAAGTTGCTGTTTGCATCGCTCATACAAGCTTACTTTCCAAATGAAGATTTGCATTTTTTCAACTATGTCAGCCTCGCCACCGGTAAGTGAAAATGGGGATGAGCACGTAGGACGGCCTTACGTAAACATATCACCAGAATTATTAACGGTTAACAAGACCAGTTATTTTGATGATCCACCCGGAAAAAGAACATCCCCCACTCTACATTTAAGGAATTTCATTTTTTTCCTCAGTAAAAATAGATGTTTTTATTAATAACATTAATTAGCAGCGAATCAACGAAATGTATTTACAGTCATGAACCAAAGCCAGAAGCTAATAACAAATAAATAAGAATCAGGTACAAAAAATACATCCTAATGTAGAAGCTGTTTAAGTTTGTTACTTTACATAAAGAGGGCTGCTCAGTGCCTTTCAGCAAGAAGGTCTTTCTGCACGGAGTTTGCATGTTCTCCCTGAGCATGTGTGGGTTCTCTCCGGGTACTCCAGCTTACTCCCATAGTCCAAAAAGCATCACTGTTAGGTTAATTGGCTTCTCTAAATTCTCTTAGGTGTGTGTGTGTGTGCATGAATGGTTGTTTGTCCTGCTTGTCTGTGTTGCCCTGCGATGGACTGGCATTCTGTCCAGGGTGTACCCTGCCTCTCACCCAGTAGGCAGCTGGAGATAGGCACCAGCACCCCTGACAGAAGATGGATGAATGGACTTTACATAAAGAGGTCCTGATCAATGCATTTATGACGAATATTATCTGCACAAGTCTCCCCACCTGTAGTTTCTCTACTTTCTAAGGTTTGATGTCAGCTGCTTGTGATGCAGGAGCTTGTGTGGCTAACATTCATTTGGCTAAGAGCTGTTTAAACAGACAAAGTCATCCCATCGTCTCTTGATAACTAAAGTTTAGGCATTTTTCCAGACGGGAGTGAAAGAACAACAGAGCCACGTCTCACAATGCAGAGAACATCAGCGTGGAACTGAAGAGATGTTAACCAGATGGGAAAACTGTCTCTGTCATTTCACTTGATAAAGATGATAAGGTGATGGAGGATGTAAGGATTACAAGCGCTGGCAGCTCTGTGTTCAAATGTCGTGGATGAGGGACTCCACTCAAAGCGCAGCATCACAGAAAAAAGAAGACGTTTCCACTGAAGTATAGTTTATGCACGGATAAAACCAGATATATACATACAGCTTTTATAAAGACAATCTATCTACCATCAAATCAGACAAAATGTTGGGTGTTTTACATCAAGCGTAATAAAAAATATTGTATTTATAAAATGTAGTAATAAAAAGAGACTTTTTATCACTTTCTCGATGAAAACCATTTCCTTTCTGCCTTTAAGCTGTATGACTTGGGTGAATCTTATAGGTTTTATTTAAGCTTCTCATACATTTTTCCCCCCCCGACAGTATGGAAAGAGATCAGAGCATTTTGACGGTCACTTTCCTTAATACCCTAATTTAAACAAGTACGCTTAGTGTCATTTTCTGTGCAACTGACATCTTGGCAAATATTTAATCCAAAGCAGAGAAAAAAAAACTTTACTAGAACATTATCATTATTACAAATGAAAATTTAGAGTTTTCCTATCAGTAATTTCCTTTATAATTCTCTAACTACTCATCTTTATGTCAGTTTGGCACTTACTCAGCAGTTCCTGTCATAACATTTCTATTGTCTGCATGATTTAAAATAAAAGTCACAAAAACATTCAAATAAATCACAAACAGAGCAGGATTCAGCCTTTAGGTTATAATGGGATGACCTTTAAGACCAAATAAAATCTGTTAAAAAGTGAAACAGAGCAGCTGTTCAGCAGGAATCAAAACAGAAGAACCTGGAAAACCTAAAAAAAAAATAAATAAAATAAAAATGACAGAGCACTGACAATCGTGTTGAAATGGATTCCTTGTGAAAGCAAAACGAGGAGAAATGAGGGAAGCAGTGACGCATATGTCGACAGAAGTCTGACCTTTAGCAAAAGAAATGCTCCCAAATTTCAGCTATATCTTGGAGGCTGACAGCATGTGCGTCACAGAATGGAGAATAATGTAGCACAACGGCTAGGTTATGACCCAGGTAAAATCTAATTGTTGTAAATGTCAGGGAGATCCGTGAGGCTCAACGTGAGACCGTCGCACACCATTTGGGAGAAACTTGAAATACATTCTATCTACATAAAGGGTACATCTGACATAAGAGCAGAACCGTGATGTTGTTTGATCCAACCTTACTTCTCCTTTAGGTCCAGAAGAGATGTTTTCCAAACGGCGGTGATAGTTGATAGTTTTTTTCCTCTTAAAAGGCAAATGCTTCAGCCTCTGTCTCCTTGCCTAAACATTACAGGGCCTGTAACAGACCCGATTTCAGCTTCAGGGCTAAACATAAACTTCGTGTAGACTTGACGTTCAGAAAGGTTAATGGAGGTCGATCCATGCAGGGTTCCTGACATGATTTTGTTTTTTCCTGGCAATATTTCAGGCTTTCACAGACTCAAATCCAAACATTTTAGATATGGTCAGTGAGCATTTAACCAGGACATTTTTCTTTTTGCAAATAAACCATGAAGTACTATTTCCTGCAGAAGAACAAAAAATCTCACTCTAGCGCACATCCCATAGCTGATTTGGCTTAGTGGCTTTACAGTAGTGAGCTTAGGCTGCTGAGGAGGAGAATTATAAGCTAATATAAAGCTCAGAAATTTGAGAAAAATGTAAATGGTTGGCTGGATGGAAAAGCGTTCTTAGGCACAACCAGGGTTGATGCTCAGGGAATGTGGTTCATCGTACTAGGAGGAATTATAACCTAGTACGTTTTCATTCAAAAATCCCATCATAGCGTTGTTTGACTTACAGGGAATTAAACACAAATGAAGTGATTTCTTCACATCCTTCAGCTCAGCCAGAACTCAGTTACAACACGTCAAAGTGCCTCACCTCAAAGTAGCAATTTCCCTTTGATAAAGGACGGCCGGCCACATAGCAACCCACTTCCTCGGAGTTCCCTTGGTAACTAAAGAGAGGAAATTACAGGTTAACAATAGGCCTCGTTTCTGTTTGAATGACACATCAGCTCACTGGTAAAACTCCCCTTGATCAAAGTATATTCACCAAATGTAATGGATCCGGCTATTAGTCAAATTATAGCATTGATCTTTTTATACAGTCAGTTTAAAGCTTTTTGAAGTATTATAACCATATTTTACAATTAGGTTGTTAATCTTTTATGGCTGATATTAAACAGATAGCATCTTTAAGAGTAAGAAAAAAACAAAGTGATGGCTTTACATTGTAAAACTTTCACTTTACTTTGTTAGTATTTCTTGATTTTCCAAAGATTTTGTTGCTAAAATACTGAAAACCAGAATCGAACAACAGGAATTTGTTTTCTTCTTTGATTTTTCATTTTGAGCTTTTTATTTTTCTACGCTGATTTTCCAAACCAAATTTAATTAAGTTAAATATTAATAAACAATACTTAAATGTTCAACATAACCAATAAGGAAAAGTATAAGAATGAGATACACTTTTCTTTCATTGTTGCATTCTGTCTTCTCATTAAATAAAGCAGCATATATGTGCCCCTACCACCATAACCAACATCCCATACACAAACATAAGTATCTGCACATTAAAAGATCTATATACCACATATATTTATACATACATGACCCCAAACCTTCAGACAAATTAATATACCTGCAACCAAAACATATGTATACATTTGCAAATATGAACATTCTTTATAAGAAAACTTTGAATCAATTTGACTGTACTGAACTGGTGAACTGTAAATTGCCTTGAGATGTCATGTGTTGTGAAATGGCGCTATAGAAATAAACTGAATTTAATTTAAGTTTATTCACTCGTACCTGCACAGACAGGAAGGAAGGAAGGAAGGAAGGAAGGAAGGAAGGAAGGAAGGAAGGAAGGAAGGAAGGAAGGAAGGAAGGAAGGAAGGAAGGAAGGAAGGAAGGAAGGAAGGAAGGAAGGAAGGAAGGAAGGAGGAAAGAAAAAAACAAAAGAAAGGAAAAAAATTTAAAAGGCAATTAAAAAACAAAAGAAGGAAAGGAAAAAACAAAAAAAGGAAAGGAAATAACAAAAGAAGGATAAAAAAGAAAGGACGGAAAGCTTTCAGGTCCACATATTACTCTGAACACGCACCAAACTTCCATAACTTGGTTGCAGCAGACCAGCCATTAATCCATTACTTAAGACCTTTACACAACCACCACTGAAGGTCCAAGCTCAGTAATAAGGTGAACATCTCCAAATAGTAGCAAAGTTTGGCTGTTTCAGATGCTGAGAGTCTGAATAAACACGTTAAGTGTTCACAGGCTTAAGCTTTAATACAATAAGTGGATGTATGGTTGTTAAAGAAAAGCCCTGATTGTTAAAAAAAGAAAGCAACAACTCAGAAGAGTCTCAATATGCAGGGAGCTTTCATGCTGCTGTTTATTCTTTTTGTCTCCTTGTGTTTCCTAAAGGAAACCTTAAGGCTTTAGTTTTATGAAAAAGTATATAAAAGTATGGGCTTCCACAGTAATTAGCGGGTCGACACTCGTGAATGGTTTAGGAGAGGTTGCTAGAAATATGTCTTACAAACAAATTTTGAACATCAAGACCCTAACTTGTGGGCTTTTATGTAAATCACTATTGTAATATCACTCGATAAGAGAGTAGAAATAAACTCGGCTACATTGAATCTTTAGTTCAGACTGACCTGAGCTTGTCTCCATCCTTCTGTAACCTCATGCATCGCTCCTGAGCCGGGTGCCCGTCTGCTATATCTCGAATCCTACGCCTCAAATTAAGAAGGCATCTGTGGTGTAGAACGTTGATGTCATCCATCTGAATAAAGAGAAAGAGGAGGAAAAACAATCTGTATGGGCAAAAACATCAACATATGAACAGGGTTCTTATTCATCGTTCTTTATGTAGAATTCAAAACTTTTCCAGGCTCCAAAATTGAGATTTTTCCAACTATATAAAAAATAAAATAAAATAAAGTGTCAATTCTACACCTATTTGAATAATAGCCAAATCTTATTGTCCATTCTACAAATACTAAAACAGGCTTCTATCATTTCAATTGTGTGGTGTTGGTTGGTGCGGTAGAAGCATCTGGGCCAGTTTAGATCAACTTCGGACATTTCAAATAACAAACTAATTACCCCAAACAAAATGATGTTTCTTTAAAACACATTCTGGAAACTCTAAAGCATCATCAAGTAATTTTCCAGTCACCCACCCGCTACAGGACCTTTAAAAAACTGCACTGTTGAAAACAACTCCAGTCAGTCGCGTACTCTACAGCTACAGCGTTATCACTTCCTATGCAGCTTGAAGATGCATATCGTCATGAGCAAATGTCTGAAGAGGTTGGTAGTAAGGTATAATATCTGATGTAAAATACTGTACAGCAGATATTTGCAGCAATTTCTTTCTTTTATGCAAGTCGGTGAAGTATAGTCTGCCTCCCAGTAAAATGTTTATTATTTGTTCTTATAACATGATTCAGTCTCTCCATGTTCTATAGTGGAATGCTAAAAACCGATTACTCTAAAGTCACAATAGTGATGCTAACAGAGGTTTGCACATATGGTACTACAAGTCTAATAAGGGGTATAAAATACTTTTCAACCATGTTTTTGTGTTTAGTTTCACCACAGAGCAAACACCTTGCCTGAATTCACTCTTCTGAGAGCCCTGTCCCGTTCTGATTCTCGCTCTCTCTTTTCTCCTTCTGACAAAGGTTTTCTTTGCCTTTTTGACGCCATAAACATCCAAGGCTAGTGTAGCATTGGGTATCTGGCAACTGATGCCAGTGGCTTTTTATTGGCTTGCTTTAAAGCTGTTCATCTAAATGCGAGTACAGATCTGCCAAACTGCCACCGGGTCAATGGCACAGAAACTTGCAGGTTTTTACACCACTAATGAGGTTTTTTTAACTACTATAGCCAGTAGCGGGAAATGACAGAGCACTCAATCGCCTAATAAAGACTTAGATTACCATCAAAGGGAGTTAAAGAAGGATAAATTGAAGCCAAAATTTTCTTAAGTGGTGCTTTAAATCTTCATTCTGTTTTTGTAAATAGATATAAATGACAGCTTTAATGTGTTGTTTTGGTATATTTAAAACATGTAATGAATCAGTGAAGATTCAGTAAGTGAGAGGAAAAAAAGAAATCCAAGCACCTGGATCTGAAATTGAAAATAAAAGATGTTGGCTTAACATCAGCCAGTATAAAACAACAACATGTATTCAGCTTTATCAGCCTTTGGTAACTTAGAAGATCAAATAAGGAGAAAAGCCTTTAAATTAAAGAAAGTTTTAATTCATATGTTGTTATATGTGTTTTATTTTTCTAACCGATCCAGAATTTGACCATCATAAAATGAAATCCATAACATTCAAAGCTTAATAGTTTAATATTTAAGGGCTTTGAATGTATTATCTTGAGGTGACTGTCTAAGAACTACGGAAGAGGATTAGGACCACTGGGAAAAAAAAAAAGTTTAACTGATTTTTTAATTTTATTTCAGTTTAGTATGAGAAAAAAGTCAGAATTCTGAATTTTTTCTCAGAATTCTGACTTTAATCTCAGAATTCTGACTGAATTCTGACAATAAAAAACTCAGAATTCTGAGATTAAAGTCAGAATTCTGAGAAAAAATTCAGAATTCTGAGATTAAAGTCAGAATTCTAAGATTAAAGTCAGAATTCTGAGAAAAAAGTCAGAATTCTGAGAAAAAATTCAGAATTCTGACTTTTTTCTCATACTAAACTGAAATAAAACTTAAAAATCAGTTAACTTTTTTTTCCAGTGGCCCTACCCTCTTCCATAAAGAACTACAGGCAGTTTTAATCCTGACATTTTTTTTCTTCCTGCGAAAAGTTTCCTCAGTTTTAATGTGAATCGTCTTCAAGAAACAAGAAAATTAGTCTGGTTTCCCTCCATTTTAGCACTAAGAAAGAAATCCTGCTGATGCGTGTTGAACATTAGCATTCCCACAGCAACTCACGAGCGTAATGAGAAAATTACATTGAAATAATAAAGCTTCATCTCAAGACAACAGCCACAAAACTGAATGTAAACCCTGAGCAAACTGCAAAATTGATTATTCCAGTTCTATCAAAACAAATAGGCCCGAATTCCAATAAACTACTATGGAAATCTCATGGACCGAAACCCAAAATGTTAGCCCCACGCCATACAATTAAAAGAACGCAGACATCAGTCACTGAAAGATGTCTTTGCTTTTCCAAATGTTTAATACATGATGGGAGACAATGTCCAAAAAAGATCATATAATATGAGAGGATTGGGTCAAAGAACAGAGCAGCCTTTCTCATCAGCGTTTTTTTAACATCTCCCTTTAGTGGTAAATAAACTGCTGCTCAAACTAACTACATCATAGAAAATATATAAGGTTGTGCATATATATAAAATGTTATGCTTAAAAGTTTGTATACACTTCCATTAAAGACAGAAAATAATCAGCTACCAGTAATATAAATTGAAATTGACAAAAGTGTTGAATGAAAATCATGACATTCATTTTGAAGAAATATATTTATATGAATATAATTGAAATAATCGTCAACTAATTTAATTAATTAGTTGCTATCTCGTACATAGAGTATAGATGTTCTAAAATATGCCTTTAGCCGACAGAGTAACAAACTTAGAGCAGAATTATACCAACATTGTAAAAAAAGAAGAGGACCCGAGCTTGGAGGGAAAAAAAAGGGGGGGGAAGCCACCCGCGATGGGTGAGGAAGAGTTATAAATATAAATATATATATATATATATATATATATATATCCTTTCCTCTGGCGGTGACATCACGGTGGGGTAAGCCGAAGGCCATTCTTCCTGCTTTACAGGCAAAATCAATGGGAACTACTACACACATCTGGAATCAACAACAATTCATATAGCACTTATTTTGGCGACTCCTGAGGCACTTCTGCCGTAGCTTAGATGTCCATACTGATTTAGGGCATTTGGTTCGAGTAGTGTGGTGTGTTCTGTTCCTGCTGAAGTTCCTCAACAATGTAAATAGAATCGGGTCCCGATTCAGAATTTGTGAAATGTATATAAGAAAATGTAATTAATTGAGTAACCTTTTTTTAAAGTATCGGCCATATTTAAATTTAACAATAATAAAAAAAATGTTTCTAACTAATTAAAATTAATGCATTAAAGTCCAAGCTCTAATTTTTATTATATTGATAATTAGGGATGTACGATATAATCGGCCCCTATTCGGTATCGGCCTGTATCGGCCTTAAAACTGAATATCGGACATCGGCCACCCCACCGATATTTAACCCGATATTTGATCAGCTTCTGAGTTTCCAAAGTCTAAAAAAAAGAAAAAGTACTTCTTCTTCTTCCTCAAAAACTTATTTTTTACAGACTTAAAAACTTCTAAAGACGAGGGAAAAAATATTGATACATTAAAATATCACAATATCTTCATTTGCTGATATATTGCCATTTAAAAACACCATATAAATCTCTTTTACTAATGAAATATTGCTATATGTCATCGTTATGCTACGAAATCCCCTGAAAATTCACAAAATTTTGCCATATTTTTATATGTTGATATATTGACGCGGTATCGATCTATTTTACTAACAAAATCTCACAAGAATTTGCAAAATATCACGAGAGTTTGTAACAGAATGAGGAAATTTCACGAGATTTTGAAAGTAAAATAGATTGATACCTCGTTTTCAAAAATCAATTTGATATCAGCATATGAAAATATATTTGAGTATATTATTTTTCAAAATGTCAGAAATGGATAACAAAACTGCTATTTTCAATGACTACTTATTTTTGTCCAGCTTTAACATCGGTATCGATATCGGTTATCGGCTACATGAGTTTTAAAATATCGGCATATCGGCCAAAATCCCAATATCGTGCATCCCTATTGATAATGAATAATTGTCCAGCTCTAAGTCCATCTATCTATCTTCAGGTCCCTAGATGTTCAGCGGTCACTGTGTGGTTGGGCAGCACCACAGAGTGACAGATAACACGGGCTCCAATATGGATTTATTACCTGAATTGAATATCGTATAAAGGACATTGATCAAGCATTTCAATGTAAACATTTCTACTTTTATTGATATTATACACAGCCATTTATCTACAGGGATCTAGTGGCTTCAAATTTCTGATTGCAACACTGATTACATCATTGTGCAGAGCACACATAGCAGCTAGTGATTATTTATATCTGTGTTCATTTGTAACCTTTTAAAAAAAAAGTATTTATCATGATGCATTTACTCACATGGCAAAGAATAGAGTTATTCATTTAACAGTAGTATTGGATCGGCTTCGGCCAAAACGCTCAGCTCCTGTATCTGCATCTACAGGTGCTGGTCATAAAATTAGAATATCATGAAAAAGTAGATTGATTTCAGTAATTCCATTTAAAAAGTGAAACTTGTATATTATATTCATACATTACATACAAACTCATATATTTCAGATGTTTATTTTGTTTAATTTTGATGATTACAAATGACAACAAATGAAAATCTCAAATTCATCATATCAGAAAATTAGAATATTGTGAAAAGGTTCAAAATTGATGGCCCCTGGTGCCACACTCTAATCAGCTAATTAACTCAAACCACCTGCAAAAGCCTTTAAATGGTCTTTCAGTCTAGTTCTATAGGCTACACAATCATGGGGAAGACTGCTGACTTGACAGTTGTCCAAAAGACGACCATCGACACCTTGCACAAGGAGGGCAAGACACAAAAGGTCATCGCTAAAGAGGCTGGCTGTTCACAGAGCTCAGTGTCCAAGCACATTAATAGAGAGGCGAAGGGAAGGAAAAGATGTGGTCGAAAAAAGTGTACAAGCAAGAGAGATAACCGCACCCTGGAGAGGATTGTGAAACAAAACCCCTTCAAAAATGTGGGGGAGATTCACAAAGAGTGGACTGCAGCGGGAGTGAGTGCTTCAAGAACCACCACACACAGACGTATGAAAGACATGGGTTTCTGCTGTCGCATTCCTTGTGTCAAGCCACTCTTGAACCACAGACAGCGTCAGAAGCGTCTTGCCTGGGCTAAAGAGAAACAGGACTGGACTGCTGGTGAGTGGTCCAAAGTCATGTTCTCTGATGAAAGTAAATTTTGCATTTCCTTTGGAAATCAAGGTCCCAGAGTCTGGAGGAAAAGAAGAGAGGCACTTCATCCACGTTGCTTGAAGTCCAGTGTAAAGTTTCCACAGTCAGTGATGGTTTGGGGTGCCATGTCATCTGCTGGTGTTGGTCCATTGTGTTTTCTGAGGTCCAGGGTCAACGCAGCCACATACCAGGAAGTTTTAGAGCACTTCATGCTTCCTGCAGCTGACCAACTTTTTGGAGATGCAGATTTCATTTTCCAACAGGACTTGGCACCTGCACACAGTGCCAAAGCTACCAGTACCTGGTTGAAGGACCATGGTATCCCTGTTCTTAATTGGCCAGCAAACTCTCCTGACCTTAACCCCATAGAAAATCTATGGGGTATTGTGAAGAAGAAGATGCAATACACCAGACCCAACAATTCAGAAGAGCTAAAAGCCACTATTAGAGCAACCTGGGCTATCATAACACCTGAGCAGTGCCACAGACTGATCGACTCCATGCCACGCCGCATTGCTGCAGTAATACAGGCCAAAGGAGGCCCAACTAAATACTGAGTGCTGTACATGCTCATACTTTTCATGTTCATACTTTTCAGTTGGCCAACATTTCTATAAATCCTTTGTTTTTATTGGTCTTCAGTAATATTCTAATTTTCTGATATGATGAATTTGAGATTTTCATTTGTTGTCATTTGTAATCATCAAAATTAAACAAAATAAACATCTGAAATATATGAGTTTGTATGTAATGTATGAATATAATATACAAGTTTCACTTTTTAAATGGAATTACTGAAATCAATCTACTTTTTCATGATATTCTAATTTTATGACCAGCACCTGTAATTGGGTGGGGAAAAAATGGTTCATGCTTCTCTATTTTCCATTATTCCCCTGCTCAACATGGTTCCACTGGCACCAATAAATTAGGGATGAAACAATAATCGGATGAATCATGATTAATCGTAACCTGATAAACCAGACTAAATGAGCGGTTAAATGTGTAATTTAGTCTGGCCCCGATGAATGAGACATCGGAAGACTGTTGATGAGAACAACACGTTGTCTTTCAAACCATGTCTGTGCCTATTGGCCAACGCTCTGACCAATGAGCGCAACTGACTGTGACATAGGGAGTGCGACAGAAAGCTGGTGGGGGAGTGTAAACAAACAGCCTGTCGGTAAAACTGAGAATACGTCTTTCTTAAAAATTAATGAGCGTAGAGCCTCTTCCTGCTCATGTTTCAATAAAAAAAAAAAACAAGTCTAATCCCTCCAAAATTGATTCCAAAGCTGAGTGAAATGAGAACTGTTCAATAGTTGTTGCCATCTTCCTTGTTGTAATTTGTGCAGTGTCGCACAGCTTTGTCATCCCGCCCTCAAAACCCCGCCTGCTTTGCATCCAGAAATTCAAAACACATCTCTGCATTGTGATTGGCCGGCCAATTCTAGGGCCTGGGGCATTGATGGAGGCTAAACCACTCGCGGGCAAAAATTATTTTGGCCGCTGGCTGGTGGGGTTAGTTTATTAGGCTAGATTAATCGATTAATTGTTATCTGTAGTATAGAGACTCAAAAACATGCCTTTAGCTGACAGAGCAACCTACTTATACAGGGATAGTGAAAAAATATACACTCACCGGCCACTTTATTAGGTACACCTGTCCAACTGCTCGTTAACACTTAATTTCTAAGCAGCCAATCACATGGCGGCAACTCAGTGCATTTAGGCATGTAGACATGGTCAAGACAATCTCCTGCAGTTCAAACCGAGCATCAGTATGGGGAAGAAAGGTGATTTGAGTGACTTTGAACGTGGCATGATTGTTGGTGCCAGAAGGGCTGGTCTGAGTATTTCAGAAACTGCTGATCTACTGGGATTTTCACGCACAACCATCTCTAGGGTTTACAGAGAATGGTCCGAAAAAGAAAAAACATCCAGTGAGCGGCAGTTCTGTGGGCGGAAATGCCTTGTTGATGCCAGAGGTCAGAGGAGAATGGCCAGACTGGTTCGAGCTGATAGAAGGGCAACAGTGACTCAAATAACCACCCGTTACAACCAAGGTGGGCAGAAGAGCATCTCTGAACGCACAGTACGTCGAACTTTGAGGCAGATGGGCTACAGCAGCAGAAGACCACACCGGGTGCCACTCCTTTCAGCTAAGAACAGGAAACTGAGGCTACAATTTGCACAAGCTCATCGAAATTGGACAAAAGAAGATTGGAAAAACGTTGCCTGGTCTGATGAGTCTCGATTTCTGCTGCGACATTCAGATAGTAGGGTCAGAATTTGGCGTCTACAACATGAAAGCATGGATCCATCCTGCCTCGTATCAACGGTTCAGGCTGGTGGTGGTGGTGTCATGGTGTGGGGAATATTTTCTTGGCACTCTTTGGGCCCCTTGGTACCAATTGAGCATCGTTGCAACGCCACAGCCTACCTGAGTATTGTTGCTGACCATGTCCATCCCTTTATGACCACAATGTACCCAACTTCTGATGGCTACTTTCAGCAGGATAATGCGCCATGTCATAAAGCTGGAATCATCTCAGACTGGTTTCTTGAACATTACAATGAGTTCACTGTACTCAAATGGCCTCCACAGTCACCAGATCTCAATCCAATAGAGCATCTTTGGGATGTGGTGGAACAGGAGATTCCCATCATGGATGTGCAGCCGACAAATCTGCGGCAACTGTGTGATGCCATCATGTCAATATGGACCAAACTCCCTGAGGAATGCTTCCAGCACCTTGTTGAATCTATGCCACGAAGAATCGAGGCAGTTCTGAAGGCAAAAGGGGGTCCAACCCGTTACTAGCATGGGGTACCTAATAAAGTGGCCGGTGAGTGTATAAATATTTTGCTTTTAAGATCAAATAAAAACCCATTTCTCCTGTCAATATGCTCTAACCAGAACTCCACAAGGGTAAAATGTTTTTCACCTTGTTTAATTTTGTGAAAAAAACGTCTTTAAGGAACCTTTCGCTATGCGATTATTAGACTTAGACAACTTTTGTTGTCTTTGGGGGAAAACAATTTCGTTTTGTACAGTTTTCATAACATTTCCATTCCTTAGTGCAGTGATTAATCGAAAATATAATTGACAGATTAATTGATTATCAAAATAATAATTTGTAGCCTTACAATAAATACAGAATTTCCACAAACATCTTCTCCTCATTCTGTAAATCAGATAAATTGTTTTATCCCTAATTTACTTAAAACAAGAAGTGAGAAAATTTTGTCATTTACCTTTTTTTATGCACGATGCACGAGAATATCTATGTGTATTCATAAACTATTTTACCTTGTCCTCAGAAGAAAAAACTACGAATTAGAAAGGCAGATGTTTAATTATTTGTGCCTGGAACTGAATAACCGGGGCCTGGATCGCTTAAAATCTGCTGCTCCGGAGCGGAAGCAGCGAATCATATTTTCTACGGATGTGGTCAAAGACCTTTTTTTTCTGCGTATCATGGCAGACAACAACAATTTACAACTATATATCATCTATAAACCATTTTTGGAGCATTACAATCACGATAAAACATTGTCATACATGTAGGTGGAAATAAGCCTCGCGTTCGCGATCAGAAGGGGGCGTGTCTTTGTTTACTTCCGACAGCGAGGGTCTTCTACCAGCTGACCACAGGCAATACAAACACATGAATTTTCATTCAGATATTTAACAGCTTTTTTCCCTTTCTTTAACCCGATAATATCTACACAAATAGCTGAGTGCTCTTTGGTGACTGAAGTAGGTTCATTCAGAGAGAAGCTAAACCTTGGTTAGCATCGTTAGCATACTACGGTTCGGTTTCCAGTAAATAAAACAAACCGACATAAAAAAGCGCTGCGAAGCGGAAGGTAGTTCTTCACATCATCAGTCTATCAGGTAACGGTGAGTGTATCGCTTACCCGTGGGCTGTTAATGAGGACATAGACTCAATGCCGTCCATCAGCTAACCTTAGCATCACACAAAACTTTGGAAACTGGAGTTCGGCGCTTCCCACTGACGTCACAGTCTCCTTCTTTTCAAAAGCCAATAGCAGCAGGAGTTCAGAAACGGCGTTGAAGGTTTGACCAATCCGGACTCCCGGATGTGTGTGTGGGTGTGTGTGCGACCCTTTGGGTTTATCCTGATTTCATCTGATGGAGAGAGAAAAAAATAACATCTTCTTATAGGGCTATCAGTCTTTTATTAATTCATTCTATATACTCTGTGTTGATAAGTTTGTTTCAGTGATAATATATTATGATCTCTAGAGGTTTAAATTACTGACACTATCCAGTTAGAGTAATTATAATAGCAACTGTGAAATAATGTTTCTGTAAGTTTGTTAATAGTGGAGGACACAGACACTATGAGCCAGATGGGGTATGACTGGAACCAGAAGGAGGAGACTGCAGAGCTGCCTGGGGGGGAGGAGATGAATAATCCCAAGAAGTGTGGAAAAGAAGGCCCCTGCTGCTCTGGCAAGTACCAAGGAACATTTCTCCTAATATGTGCGCTGCAGAGTCTGGGGAGCTGATGGGAACAGAAGCCGGCAGGTGATTTGTGCCCTTTGTGCCGAGAATAATCCGGACACCTTGCGGCTAATGGTGAGGCAGATGTCATCCTCAGAGAGCCTGCAGTTTCAGCAGGAACGGGTCAGTCTTCTAGATCCATAAGACTAGAGTAAATTTCTTAGTGTCTGGCAATGAACTTTAGCACATTTTAATAATGTTTATTTTCCTCCTACATGACAAGAAAAGCTACATAATGCATGGGGTCAAAGAGGGACCCATCCATCAAAGATCCAATTTGTCATCAATATCGTTACACTCTCAGACCTTAAAGTTTTGTTTTTTTTAACTTAAGAGCTTTACAGTTTTACTAAGATATATGTGATGAAAATAAATTCAGCCCCAACATTATGCAGAAGCAATAACACTTATCTGTACATAAGTGCTGTCAATCTTTCTGACAGGATCCTAATTAATTTACAGATTTATTGGGAATCATTGGCTTTAGATAGGAAACCACCTTCCTGTTTGTCATTTTGATGCAATAAATCTTTAACCATGCACTTGTCTGTACTAACAGAGCTATGCAGAATAAAAATTCAGGATCAGTTTGCTTACTTCTCTTCCGAAGTTACCCTGTTATTATCTTAAAATGTACTGGATTGTTTCATTTTGAATTTGGAGCTATAGCTGGATACGAATCATGTCTTTTTATCTTATTAGTTACTTTGAGATTATAACTTATGTATTTGGCACTATATCAACTAAACTGAATCCAATGCTTTTCATACTGGTTGAAGTGCTTAGTAACAGCAGCAGGGGACACTGATGGGAGCTGAAGCAAAGCGCTGTAGCTACAGACATCCTGCTGGTGGTGGAGTATCAGGTTTGCTGTTCTCCACTGGTCCGCAGGAGGCATTTAATCTTGCTGATTGCACTTTAAGAGTTAACTTGTGTCAGTAGGCGAGTACCTAAGTCATTAAGCCAGTATTCTGTTAAGTTCCAAACATAAGGATTATGAAGGACTACTACAGATGCGGAGCTCAGTTACATGTTTGAACAGGAAATATTGTCTCTCAGCTTTACAGAGGATTCCAGAGGGGGGTAAAACTTAGACTTGGCCATGGATTTAGCTGCTGGGAACAGCATTGCAGTGGGAACCCATATGCAGAACATTTGTATTTGTTACCATGGCGAACCTTCAAGTAGGATCTTTGACAATGAAAAGAAAATGCACATAACTGATGATGGTCACAATTCTATAAAGGAGCAGATTACCATGAATGGTGAAAGGGTGGAGAGATTCTGCTAATTTCTAAAAGGAATATAATCCACCCCCTTTTCTCTCCCCCTCCCTGCCACCTCCTTCTTTCTCTCTCTCCCTCTCTCTCTCTCTCTCTGAGTCCCAGCCCCTGAAGGTGTCATAACTGTGCTCTCTCTCCCTCTCTCACTCATTCCCGATCACCGCCAGATCTTTAAAAGCTGGTGCTTTGCCGTGTCTTTCTCAATCTCCATTTGTGTCCTCTGGCACTGCAGGAGGACTCAGCCGACAAAGCACCAAGGAAACCTACTGTTTCAGGAGCAGGACGAAGACGCAGGAAAGGGGAAAAGACAGAGTGATATCCATCCAGAAATAGCATCGGCCACATTTAACTGACAGGGGGTGACAGTGTGCAGAACCTGAGACCTGGACAGAAGATGCCTCTCCTTTCTAACTTAACGGCCGTTGTGTTGCTGCTGATTGCCCACTGCGGATCGTGGGCAGGGGGAAGCCGCTGGGGCCCTTTCAAGGTCTGTCCCTCCTGCAAGGATCCTCTGGGGGCAGGCCGGCCCCCGAGGGACCATAATGTTGCCGGCAGCACGACAGTTTTGGCTCAGGGGGAGCCGTGCGGTGTGTATACCCTGAGCTGTGCCAAGGGGCTCCGCTGTGTGCCCCCGCCCAGGGAACACAGCCCCCTGCAGGCTCTGTTGCAGGGACGAGGCATTTGTGCCAAGCACATCAGAACTAGTCCCACTGAGAGGCCCCACCCCACAGGTAAGACACAAGTGCATGAAATCTCACATAGAGATGCATGCGGGCATTTAGAGGAATTAAGCCTGACATACAGTGTTGTTTTACAACAGATTCTACATACATTTCTCCATAATATGCACCCTCATCTAGCTCTTCCGTCTCTGTGATGCTGTGTCACCCCGGAGGAAAAAAAAAGGCATCCAGTGTCTGACATTTTAAAGCTGGCTAAATTTTGTGCACCACAAGCGACTTTGCCAACCTCTGGCCTTAGGCTCCGCATCACAGCATCTCCAAAATCCACCTTCATTTAAAAAAAAAGAATTGTCTTTAAGATTCTGGACCCATAATTTTTTAAATCACAGGTCAGAATTACACCCTTGGTTTCAGCACCAGTCTGTTGGTGAGGATGTACGTTTTGCAGTAACACATCCACATGTATCATCCATCGCCATGCCAGAGATCATGACAGTGTGTGTGTCCTACAAGACAGCCTCTCTGTAGGGAATTAGGATGGAATGTCAAACTGTCACAGTGTCACCTACATCCTGATCAGGCTGCTATTTATTGCAGTGATCACCATCTGCTGTCCAAACTGAGACATTGCGATTACCGGCGAGAAAAGGAAAAGTACTGATTGTAATTGGGTCTCCTGTTTAGCCGGTCACAGTTGGAGGTCCTCGGTGGACTTGTTTGGCCGTGTTCTTCTGCACAACAATGCAGCAATCCAAAGCAAAGAGTAAATTAGGATACATTGATATGATAAGACTGAGATTTGGGGCTGGTTTTGGTCTAAAGGTTCTGCTGCTTTGATGATAACGTTCTCATGATGGCATTTCCTTTCCTCACAGGTCCGCATCCCTCACACTTTGGCGACCTTGAAAAAGTAAGTTTAAGCTTTGGTCTTATAAAAATTCCTTTAGTATTTTGAATAAATCTGTAAAATCATATGGAAATAAAAATAGAAAAAAGATGTATTTTGCAGTGCAATGCATTTCAGGCAGCTCTCCTCACAGATCCACTGCTGTTCGGGGTGTTGCAGCGGCATGTACACACACTGTTCACAAGCCATGCATTATGGTGCATGATATGTGTGCTGCTATGCGGCAGAACTAATTGAGCATGATGTGAATCGGGAAAGTTTTGACTCGGCTGCTGCAGCTGCAGATTTATCTTGACTAGAAGACCAGTGTGTATGTTTAGAAGTGATATATATGGCACCCAACAAGATGACACAGTAGCATTTCACACAAAAATGCACAGTCATTACTGTGACCTGAAAAGCTGGGGCATTGTATAACAAATTGTTATATAATGTGACATAATATGTGACATTTAATAACCATACATTCTCTGCTTCTGCCTATTACGATACATCACAGTAGCTAATCTAAAATCATCGTCTTTTTTTTTAATCAAAGGGGATTTCTGAGGGGAGACAGTGGCTTGCAAATGCCACCCAGGTTCTTTCTTTGCCTCCCTGGAGCTTTAAAAGTCACCCTCTGCATTGCTGCTTTCAGGCACCCTGTCGCAAGCTGCTCAACAGTGTCCTGAGGGGTCTGGAGCTGACAGTCTTCCAGTCTGACCGCGACATCTACATTCCTAACTGTGATACCCGTGGTTTCTACAGGAAAAAGCAGGTAGAGTCTCTGACATATCGAACGATCAGGGAACTTTTCCAGGCTTCTAGATCTATACTCCAATGGCATTTTCTGCTCAGTGTTGCACAGTAATGACCCTGAAAAATGAACACAATTGTGTCGCAGAATGAAACTGATCTATATATTTTTTGTCTTTATTTTACTCCGATCCCCCTTAATATAATCCAGAACTGGAGCATAAACTAATTCTCTGTATAAATCCAGCTGTAGTGTGAAGCCCTTCCCATCGGTGAACTCACATCAGCACCGACACCGAGGAGCATGGCAGTCAGATCAGGGTTAAAATTGCGCTGACTTTCAATTTAGGCCCTATTAACATGACAGCGATTCTTTAAAAGTTGTGGTTCCCTTTCAGTAACACATCTACATGATATTTTTTATGCAAACTCCATGATCAATAGTTGTAATATTGCCACACATTAAAAGTGGTGTAATTTCCTTACCACTGCCACTAGTAGGCGGTGTGTTCTCTGAAATGTACATGGTCTCCCTGCTTAAAAAGGCTAAAAAAAAGCAGCATCACCAAATGACTGGACTGTTTATATTGACAGACCAAGAGCTTTTACTGTATGGGGAAGGGGGCTCCTCTTTGGCTTCTTCATACATGAAGGTTCTGTTATTCCTCTTTACACAACAATGAAGACAGGATGTTTTTAGAGCCACCTGCTCTAGGATCCATTTTTTAATTACTGCCTTATTGGACAGTAGAAACGCAACAAATCTTAAATAGAAACTTAAAAAAAAAACACAGAAAGCTTTAAACATCTAAAAAAAAAAAGTCAAACCACAATTAAAAATCAACTGTGAGACATGGTAGTGGCAGCATGCTGCAAGACGCAGGGATGCTCTCCAGTCAAAC